CTAATAGTTTAAGACGTGCTGTTGGTAAACATGCTGTGGAAATTAATAAGTTGGCCAAGGATATTCCTGAATATCAGCAGTTAAGAGAACGCATGGGGCATACAAAAGTTGAAATTTTAGCTGGTGTACTGGTTGGTTCGCTTGTTTCATATTTGATTGCTAATACGCTATAGGATGACCGATATTTATGCTTATTAGTAGATTGAAAATCAGCCTTTACCTGCTAATTTTATTAGCAATAATAATCTTCTTTAGAGCAGGGGAGTTTAATTTTTCACTAAAAGTAGATGATTATTTATACACGTCATGGTTGTTTAATTATGATTATGGTTTTATGAGACGTGCTCTTCCAGGAGAGTTAATTTCTTTATTTAACATAGATTATAGTTATAGATCAATAAGGGGCATAGCATTTGTTATTTTGTTGATTTTATTTTATTTGTTTTCATATTTCGTTATTGAGTCATTGAATCATTTAAAAATAAGTGATAATAGAGCAATCTATGTCGCTTCTTTTTTGTTTTTACCATTTCTAACTACTCAATGGATAATTGAATTAGGTCGCTTTGATCAGATAGTTCAAATCATGCAATTGATTTGTTTGATTTGTATAATAAAAACGAATAAATATTTTTTTAGTTTTTTTCTTATAAGTCTGACTATAGTGCTATCCGCACTTATTCATGAGGCTTCCTTAATTATTTTTATTCCAACCATAATATTAATATTTTATCTAAAGTTTAGTAACAAGCTGGCTACACTGTTGTTAATTTCTTTTTTATTGTTGGCATTAGGTTGTATGATTTTTTTTGGAAAAATTGATGCGCACCATGCTAGTTTAATTATAGAAAAATACAAAGATTTAGAGAAATTTAATTATTATGCAGTTAGGACAACAATTTTAAGTAATGTTGACAATATTATTGTAAGCTATTACTCATTGATAAATAACAAAACATATCTTTATATGTTTTTTTCCATTTTATATTTATACCCTGTAATCTGCTTTTTTAAAAAGGTTTTTAGTGGCGTAAGTTATTTTTATGTTGTTGTTTTTGCATTAACTCCAATTGGCTTATCTATAATTGCATTTGATTATTTTAGGTGGATAGCGTTAGCTTTCTTTAATGTAAGTGTTTTAAGTTTTTATTTGATCATTTCTGGAAAATCTAATAATGCTGAAATATCAAAATATCTTATTGAACGTAAAAGAAAAATACTACTGTATGGTTTAGTTTCTTTGATGGTTGGTGCTTTAGGTGTTTTTAAATTATTCCCGAACTTACCTAACCAAGGGGGGTTTTCATCAACAAGTTTGCCTACAAAAATTTTAACTAAAGTTAACTTTCCATCAGATACTAAAAACCAACTATTTGAAGTGAATCGGGATATCAAAGGCTGGGAGTTAGAGACTGATTTGAGTCAATACAAAAATATTGATTTGGCACTAAGTTGGTATGAAACTGAGGTTAAAAAAGGGAATGCATTAGCTAAAAATAATTTGGCGCTTATGTATACACGTGGTGGCCAAATAGATATAAATTATGAAAAAAGTTTTCATCTATTGAAAGAAGCAAGTCAGTCTAGTGTTGAGGCACTTAATAATTTGGGAGTTTTATATGCAAATGGGCTCGGTGTAGATAAAAATTCTAATAAAGCTTTGTCTTATTATCTTGGTGCGGCGAATAATGGATCTGCTGCTGCCATGTATAATATGGGGATGAGTTATTTAAAAGGTTTAAATGGCTTGAAGAAAGATAAAGCCAAAGCTAAACATTGGTTTGAAAGAGCTAAAGTCTATAATTTTTCACCAGCATTGTATCAACTGAAACATGGTAAGTGGTCGAAATAATAGGGGGAAAGTTATCCCCACTATTTACTAATTAATTTAATAAGCTCCTGCTTAAGCCAATGATTTTAATATCTGAATCATTGGCTTATTTTTATGGAAATTAACATAATAAGGATTATCCGAAATAAGAAAGGCAGCCTAAGCTGCCTTTTTTATTGTTAAACATTGAATCCATATACAAAAGGACAACCTTCGAGATGTAGTTATGCCTCGAAAGGAGGGTATCGAAGTTGTATGAAAAAGTACCAACTTTAGAATTCCAGTAAGGGTGCTAAAAGCTAACGACTTTCTCTACCAACATTGATTCCAAGGGTTGCAGCCAGTTCTTTTTGAGAGATCTCTAGCTCTTCTCGAATAAGATGAAGTTGAGTTTCTAAAAGTAATTCATCAGCCATTTGTTGAATACGTGCTTCGCTCTCTGGAGAGCGACTAGCCAATAATTCCTGTAAGGTTTTAGCCATTAGATTAGTCTCCTAGGGTTGAGAGATGAAGTTCGTATTGCTGATCTGCAATTTCCAGCATCTCTTTATAGAAACGCTTTTTACCGCCTTTATCACCGATGCACAGCACAATAGCCTGTCGTAATGGATCAAATGCGAAAAAGGCTCTCAGAGGTTTACCTCGATGCTGAACGCGTAGCTCTTTCATATTGGTAAATTTAGATTCATATACGGTATCAACTAAATGGCGACCTAAACTTGGCCCTGCTGCTGTAAAACAACCAAAGCAGCTAAGACTTTCTCTTGTGTTGATTCGTCTTGCTGCTCAAGCCATTCATTAAACAGATCTGTCGTGATGACTGTTCACATACCACAACCATAATATAGATTATAGTCTATATTTTATGGCGAACTCAGTCAGTTTTCAAATGGCAATAAAAAAAGCCCGACATCCTGTCGGGCTTTTTCGTATTTGATGCGTTAGGTATAACTCCTGTCGTACCTGCATTCTCCATTGCTGTCTTTTCTTATTCTTATCTGGAGCATCCTGCTCTCTATGTCCTCATGATAGGAAATTGATGAAGAATGGCATAGACGCAAAGTACCTGAATGAATGTGCGCCAAAACGTACAAGTCTGGCCACTTTTTATCCCAAGAGTTGTCCGCAGAAATTGGGGATTGTTTAGGCCGTGGATGGCTTGATAAATCACAACAAAGTTTCATTTTGTTTGAAAAACAGTCAAATTTATTGGCAATAAGTATCAAAACTGATCATAAAAAAGCCAACTTGTTTCCAAGTAGGCTTTTTACGGTTTTTTAGGTTGGTCAAAATTTTTTAACTATATGAAAAACAATAATATTTTAAAGTGCGTTTCGTATAAGCTCTATTATGTTAAATGGGCTGTGTAGTATTACGACACAATTTGTCGCAAAAGCATTAATAAGCATTTGATTTTTACTATGTATACAATTAATTTACTACCAGAAAATATCTTTATATCAATCAATAATGAAATAAATCAGGGGTCATACATGAATCAACCATACAACTTTGATCAAGATGAATCGCAGCCTTTAAATGCTAACTCTACAGCAGCAGAAATTAGAAAGAGAATTGAAGAAAAAGTTAAGGAAATTAGATCTTATACCCCTAAAGTAGGTGTATTTGGTGTTACTGGTGTTGGGAAATCATCACTTTGTAATGCTCTTTTTGGTAAAGATGTTGCTGCTGTTAGTGACGTTGCAGCATGTACACGTGAACCTAAAGAGATATTTATTGGCTCTGAAGGAGCTGGAATTAAATTAGTTGATGTTCCTGGTGTTGGCGAAACTATTGAACGAGATAAAGAATATTTTGCTTTATATGAAAAATTAGCACCTGAACTAGATTTAGTAATTTGGGTTATTAAGGCGGATGATCGAGCATATGCTCAAGCGGAAAAAGCATATAAAGAAATTCTTGAACCAAATTTAAAAAAATGCCCTGTAGTTTTTGTTATTAATCAAGTTGATAAATTAAATCCTTTACGTGATTGGGATGATGCAAAGAATCAGCCTGGCAGTGAAAAGCAAAAAAATATTGATGCCAAAATTTTTGAAGTTAGCAAAGCATTTGATGTGTCAACAAAATATATTGAAACTGTATCAGTAGCAGAGAAATATAATTTAACGAAGCTGATGGATACACTAGTTGAGGTACTGCCTAAGGAAAAAAAGTATTCAGTAGTAAGGGAAGCAGTAGAAGAAGTAAAAAGCGAGGAAGCAGAAGCAAAAGCAGAAAAAGGCATATGGGACACAGTAAAAGAGTTCGCAGGTGAAGCTTGGGATTCTGCAAAAGAAGTAGTAGCTGACGTGATTGTTGCAACAGCATCTGCTGTTATTAAAAAAGGTTGGAAAAAGCTACTTAGTTGGTTTTAAGCCCAAAATATAACATTGGATATAGAAATGGGAACTAAATTCCCATTTTTTTTATAGCTTTTATATTTGATATGAGTGTATGACTTTGATACAGACTTGGAAGAGTGAGGGGAAGCCCAATATGCCTAAGGTAGGTGTATTGGGTGTTACTGGTGTTGGGAAATCATCACTTTGTAATGCTCTTTTTGGTAAAGATATTGCTGCCGTTAGTGACATTGCTGCGTGCACTAGTAACCAGCAAGAGATACTTATTGATTGTGATGGTCTCAAAATTCAGTTAATTGATATGCCTGGCATTGGTGAAAATATAGAGAGAGATAAAAAATATTTTGCTTTATATGAAAAATTAGCACCTGAATTGAATTTAGTAATTTGGGTTATTAAGGCGGATGATCGAGCATATGCTCAAGCTAAGAAAGCATATAGGGAAATTCTTGAACCAAATTTTAAAAAGTGCCCTGTAGTTTTTGTTATTAATCAAGTTGATAGACTAAATCCTTTATGTGATTGGGATGATGAAAAAAATCAACCAGGAAGTGAAAAGAAAAAGAATATTAATAAGAAAATCTTTGAAGTCAGTAAGGAGTTTGATATATCAATTAAATATATTCAAACGACATCTAAGACTAAAAAATATAACCTAGGTGAGCTAAAAAAATTTTTAACTCACTTTCTTCATAAAAATTAAGAATAACAAATTGATTTGTGTTGTTTTTCTAAAATTAATATAATACGCGTTATACGAAATTCTTGAATTTTTCTTATAAGCATCAATATCTTATCCGAAACCATGACGGGGTTCAGCGCACTGTCATGGTTTCTTTGTGATTATTCACGTTCCACGCCTTTACTTAGCTAAAGTGAACAATCCCCTTAGCCATTCGGCAGGAAAAACCGGCTCAGAAAGCCCCGCTTTGGTGGCTCAGGCTCGACATACTCCGGTACTGGAATGCGCTTATTTTCCGTCGCATCCGGTTCTTTCTGCGGCATGGCAATAACTTCTTCTTTTTCTTCTGTCATCGGCTCAGCCTGAGTAGGCTCCGGGTCGATAGACGTAGGGATATGAGGTTTTGGGGCCTCTAATAAGCGTTGCATAGCTTCAATTTGTTCTTGATAGAAAGATTCACGTTCTAATGATTGATTCTCTCTAAGTAAAGCTTGATTCAATTGTTTTTCAAGTATGTCAACTTGTCGTTTTAATAAGTCAACTTCCGTCAAGTTTTGACTGTTAGTTGATTGACTTTGATTGACATTGGATGCTTTATTTTGAGGCTCTCCAAATACTCTTAAAGCTTCTGAAAAGTCAATTAAACCATCAGAACCTTTCGATAAATTCCCTTTATTTATATGAGCATATATAGCTTGTCTTGAATATCCATACAGCTTAGCTAATTCTGAAACTGATAATTTTTTCATGTTGTAAACTGGGGGTAAATTGAGTTAATACTTTACTGTTAATTTGACAATGTCAATTTACAAACCTATTTAAATCCTAATTCTTTTAGATATGGAGAATATTCTTTAATTTTTTTAGGATCTGTTAAGTCTCCAGATATTCTAATTATAAAGTCATCATAGCTTTCACCAGCTTTACTGTATTTTGATGCGAATGTGGGTTCATAAGCTAACTTACCAGAGAACAAAAGAATCTGTTTATCTGTCAATTGGCTAATCAGTTCTAGCTGTTCACTGCTTGTTTTAGAAATATTTTTAACTGATGTCTTTGGCTTAAATGAAAAACTATAGCCTGAGATTGATCGCCCAGTTTTATGCTGTTCGGATTTAACTTTGATGTCTGTAAAAGTATTGATTTGGGATATAGCTATATCTAGAACTCTTCTTTTGAAATTATCTGAGCGCGTGTATTCATCATCCGCAATACCAAGTTGCTGCCTAAATTCTGAAATTTCAAATACTGGAGTTTGACCAGTAGTGCGCCAAGCAACTAATATATATCTAGAACTCTTCTTTTGAAATTATCTGAGCGCGTGTATTCATCATCCGCAATACCAAGTTGCTGCCTAAATTCTGAAATTTCAAATACTGGAGTTTGACCAGTGGTGCGCCAAGCAATTAATAGTTCGTAAAGTCTAGTTGCATATCTGCTTGTCAATTGACTTACTTGCTTTAATTCATAGCTAGTAAAGCGTTCCTCAAGCCTTGTAATTAATGGGACGACAGCTGGTGAAAATATAAGACTTACAGATGCTTCATTATCAATATAGCTAATTTCGCTTACCCAACGGCTATGAGTAGTTTTTACATTCCCTTTATCTGTTAAAGATTGATAAGTAAATCTCCTATCAAATAAGACCTTACTTGCCTCTTTCAAAACAGCATAAGCAGTATGTTTTTCTACACCGAAATTCTCAATATAGCTTGATGCATGAATTACCAACGCATCATTAGCATTGATTCCTTTACCTGTTTGTCTGGCTTCAATGATTGCTAATAGAACTAACCTTTGCTCAACTAAATCAAGGTTATAACTTGCATTAATTAAAGCATTATCTTTGACAACTAAGTCTTTCATTATTCTTATTACTACATCATTTTATGATGTAGTAATACTACATGAAATATTGGAGTAGTCAAATGGTCGATAAACGTAGTGATATGGGTCGATAAACGTAGTGATATGGGTCGATAAACGTAGTGATATGGGTCGATAAACGTAGTGATATAAGCTCTTAAACCCTTATGTATAAAGGATTACAGCAGATCTAAAAGCATTTAAAAACTTAAAAATCATTAAAAGCATTGGGAATGAAAAATTGCCCTTGGTTTTCGCTACGCTCAAACTCTATTGAATCTCGCTTTCGCTCGATTCGTGGGGCAATTTTTTAGATCATCCTGTTCTGACTTTGAGAAAAAGCAAAAACAAGAGCAAAAGAAACTCGGAATTCGCTTCGCTCATAAAGCTTTTTTACTCGCTACGCTCGATCTAGGCTCAATTTTCTAAATATGATTTACGCTTATTTAGGCTTCACAGCCTAAAAAGCTGTTTTTCAGAGAGTCGAGTTGCGAATTTTGTTACTTCGCTCGTAGACACTCGCTCTATTCATCCCGATTAGAATAAAAATAGTCTCTATTTGGCGCTCATTTGCGTTTTTTGACCTGATTACTCATTTCAATAGTCGATTCTATGTCTTATGTAAAAATGTGGCTGAAATCGCATGTGAGAGCGTTTTAACTTAGGTTTTATTTTTGATCTGTAGGCTAGAGTTTTCGCTTATAGATTTTTCTCTTAAAAATACAATAGTCAGGATCTCTTTTGGCCAAGCACTATCTTTACTGTCAGTTCAGTCAATTAAGTGGATTGGGAGCCGGTACATACCGGCAATTTTTGGTTCACACACCACGCATCTAAAGATAAAAGCCCAAAACCCGCATGTAAAAAGGGTTTTAAAGGCGTTTGAATCGACGAGAATTTGCTTGCAAAAAACTTAGTAAAAGATACCCAACTATTTGAAATTTAATCAATAGTTCATGAAAGCACTATTGCAAGCATAGAATTTAATATTTTTCTTTTAATATTAATAACTTAGTCCGCAAGCAATAAGGAAATGTTTGTGCAAGCGTAAATACCGAATTAAATATTAATTATCAGTATCTTAGGTGTAAGCAATATATCTTTATAGTCAGTAAATTGCTATTTTGTCACTTTTACCAGTCGTTTAGCTATAAAACGGACACAGAAATAGCCAATTTATGTTCTCCAGAAATGAGTTCTCAAAAAACGGTCATATTTTCTATAAATATATGTTTTTAAAAAATTATAGTGTGAACTCAATATAGTTCTCAATTTGATTGTTTAACTATACTTAAATTATTGAAAAATAAATAAAATAGATGAGTTCTTAAATTATTTTCGACAAAAGTTCTCAAAATTATCAATTTTTAACATTAAGCCCATGAAATTTATTTGAAAATGTCTGTTCTCAGTAGGAATTTTTAATTATGAACAACTTTATTGTCGATTCAGCCAACATTGTTTCATTTCCTCGACCATGTGATTTCTGTGAATCAAAGGAAAATGTTCAAAAATTTGCAGGGCTGATGCTTTGTGGAAATTGTCAGGAAAACATCCGGATCACTAATCCTGGCATGTTTGAGGCCAATGGTCAGATTGAACAAAAAGCCCAGGATTAACCTGGGCTGCGTATAAGAGATTTTATGTTAAATAAAACTTATGTAAGAAAAAAATCAAATGAAGACTTTTAACTTTTAATGTATAAAACGAGTTATTTATTTTTACTAGAATATCAGGGGGATATATGCATTCTTTAACACCTTATCTACTTAGAGTTTATGATCCATTAAGAGAGGTCACTATTAAGAAAAAAACCAAGAAAGGTGCTAATGCATTATTGCATGATATTTATGGAAAAGATTTATTCCAAATCTTTCTAGATTTCATGACTGCTCACAAAAATACTTTCATAAAAACTGTCGATGAAAAAAGAAGAAAGGTTTATAAATTTCATGATGTTAAAGTTATAGATAAGGAGCGTATCATCTATGGTTGGTTCCTTGAAGGGGAATATGGATTAGAAAAAGAGCTTATTAATATTGACAGTTCAGACGTAGAATTTGTTAGAAAGATAGAAAATGCAGAAATTACTAGGCACTTTTTTTATATAAAACTTCCACAGCCACAGGCACATGGTTTAGTTCTATTGCATAACTTTAATGGTAATGGAGTCAAAACAACATTTCATGATGAGTTTCTAGCTTTTAGTAAGCCTTTAATAAAGCTTACAGTATCTATGACGCCCTTATCGTATGATGGTGCAATGAAGGCTTGGGCTAATTCTGTAGCAAAGGAAATTAGATTAAATCGTTTTGTACCACAAGATGATATTAACGATACTCTTAAGGAACTTGGTTATAAAGAACAACCTAATGCTGTTCTTGTGTTAAAGCCAGAACTTAAAGGTGGAAATTTTGGAAAGCTTTCAGAACTTGCATATAAGTTAAAAACTGATAAACCTTCAAAAAAATTACAAGCTGTTGAGCTACTCATGGAAAACTGTTCTGAGATAAAAACCGTATTTGAATTAAATGGGAAAAAAAGAACATTTAAAATCGGTAATGGTATTAGTAACGTTCTATGTGAAGTGTTGTGTCCAAAAGAACTAGAAGAAAATCATTTACCTACTTTAGATGAATTAAAAAGTTGGGCATTTGAAGTGGCGGATGAATTTTCATCTGATATATATGCTGACTAGTAAAATGAGGTGCTGTTATGAGTAATAAGATAAGTATTTCTGATATTTGTTGTTCTCATAGAGAGACTTTAACGGCTAGAGATCAGCTAAGTTTTTTTGGCTTTCCTATTCTATTAGCCATCCTAGCCCATGTTCTTGAAATTAATTTAGCTAGTGATACTTTATCTCTATTAGTTAGTTTTGGCTCAATTTTTACAGCCCTACTTTTATCCTTATTAGTCCTAATTTTTGATCAAGAATCTAAGTTAGATGAAAAGAAAGAATTGTTTGATAAAGACCAGAAACTAGTACCGTTATATAATGTTAGGAAAGACTTATTATTTGAGCTTTATTCTAACATTTCTTTTTCTATCATTTGTGCATTGTTACTAGTAGTTGCATGCTTATTTTATTCTCAGCTTTTAAGTTATGAAGAGCTACGCTCGGAATTTAATATTTTAGTTTCTGACTATTTTTTCAATCCTATTATTATTATTTTATTAGGGTTAACTACTCTAAATATCTTAATGATTTTAAAGCGTATTCATACTTTATTAACGGTAAAACCTGAAAATTCTGAAAAAGAATCTGATCCTTCAAAGAAAGACTATGTAGAAAGAGATCTATAGCTAAAGTTAATTAATACGGATTATAAAAAAACGAGAGCCATAGACTCTCGTTTTTTTATTCTAAAACTGCTAAAATTCTTATACGCCATTGACGTACTTTAATCTATGTTATTTATTGAAACCAGTGTTTTTACCAAGCAAATCAAAGAGCTTGTGAGTGATGAAGAGTATCGTCAGCTCCAACAAGATCTCTTGGTACAGCCTGATAGAGGCGACTTAATCAAGAATGGCGGTGGTATTCGTAAAGTACGTTGTGCTCAAGGCAATAAAGGAAAAAGTGGCGGTATCCGAGTGATCTATTATTGGGTTAATGAAGATCACCAAATCTTTTTCTTATTGGCTTATCCAAAATCAGTAAAAGATACCCTGACAGATAAGGAAACAGCCATTCTTCGTCAATTAGTGAAGGAGCAACTTCATGGATAACAACTTATTTGATGATCTGGTTTCTTCAATTAAAGAAGCAGGCGCAATTAAACGTAAAGAGATCCAAGCAAGCCGAGTTACCGAGCTTGAATTACCTGATATTAAAGAAGTCCGTGAAAAGACTGGGTTAAGCCAAGTTGAATTTGCATCACGCTTACATATCAGCGCAAGAACTCTACAGAACTGGGAACAAGGTCGACGTTATCCCACTGGCCCAGCAGCGACCTTAATTCGCATTCTTGATGCACATCCAAGCCTGATCTAAAGAGAAAATCCAGATAATAGAAAAGCCCGACATCCTGTCGGGCTTTTCTAGATTGGGTTGCTCGTCTTGCTGATCTCGTGCTGCCCATTCCTTGCGCTACTTTCTTATTCTTGTTTTTCTGGGAACATCCTGTTCCCTATATAGCCATCATAGGATTAGTGCCCTGAATTACCAATCCGCAAAATCCTTAAATTTATGTAAGTTTTAGCTTACAAAGTTGGCCTATTTTTATCCCAAGAGTTGTCCCCAGAAATTGAGGATTGTTTAGGCTATGTATGGCTTGATAAATCACAACAATATGTCATTTTGATTAAGTATTGATCGTTTTTATTGGCAATAAATATCAAAACCGTTCATAAAAAAGCCGACTTGTTTCCAAGCCGGCTTTTTAGGTTTTGCGTCCCAATTTTTTATAGCATAACTTTTTGAAATATAAAACTATTTATGAGTGCGTTTCGTATAAGCTCTATTATGTTAAATGACTCTAATTTTTCATCTGAATAAAGTATTATCAATACCATAACAAACTAAATAAAACTTTGATTTGAAGGCATAAAGTGAAATTTTTCAAACTTACATCTATTGCTCTAGGACTGATATTTTCTATGGAAACTCTAGCTAATCCAACCTTTTCAAAGGACTTGTTAACAAAAGCTAAAAATGGAGATTCATCAGCACAATTAGAATTAGCCGATGTATATATACATGGTTACGGTATTGAAGAAGATGAAGCTCAAGCCGAAAGCTGGGCTATTAAGTCAGCGGAAAGTGGCAATATTAATGCAATGTATTGGCTTGGTGATGGGTATGCGACATATGCTGGTTTAGTTGAAGATATGGACCCAATTGATGCTGAAGAACATTATAAGAAAGCGTTTGTGTGGTTCACAAAAAGGATCTGACTTAAATCATACTGATTCTATGGTGAGTTTAGCTAAGTTATATCGCAATGGTGAGGGGGTTACTCAAGATACTGCTAAGGCATTAGAATTATTTAAAAAAGCCGCGTCTCTTGGCAGTAAAGAGGCTATGAGCGATCTTGAATTTATGTATCGATATGGAATAGGTGTAGAAAAAAATTTAGATAAGGCAAAATTTTGGGAAGATAAGGCACAGATGTAACTATATAGAATAATTAATATAATAAACCTTAGACGAATCCAAAAATGGGAGCCTTAAGCTCCCATTTTTACTATATTTCTTAAATTTCGTATAACCGCCATTATGTCAAATGGGGGGAATTTTTATATTTTTATTCTATAATTTCGAGTTAATTCGTCAACTAAACGATGAATATATTTTTCAGAATTATTTTGAATAATTTCATTCAAAAAACTTGGATCCCTACTTAGATTAAGTGGTGATTGTGTTGTGTCAGATTGAGATTGAAGTGCTAATAAAATTGTGAGTAATTCGTACATGTGGCTAGATTCTAGATCTTTTTTAATGACCTCTACGAGATGTGAAGACATTTCAAATGCATCAGATTGAGATAAGGTAGAAACAGATTCATCAATGAAATTAGATAAGTACCATTCATCAAGTTCACAGCTAGAACTTATTCTTTTAATAAAATGAGCTAAAGATTCTATAAACATTATTATTTTTAATTCCATCTAAAATTAACATAATACACCTTATACGAAATGCTTGAAATTTCTCCTTCAGCATCAATATCTTAGTCAAAGCCGTTCTAGGGTTCAGCGCACTGGAACGGCTTTTTCATGATTATTCACGTTCCACGCCTATTCTTTGAGCAATGTTTCACGACTTTGTGTAGCTCAGTTGAATAATCCCCTTAGCCATTCGGCAAGAAAAACCGGCTTAACCACCCTCTTTTCGGTTGCTCCGGTTCAACCTGCTCCGGCACTGGAATACGCTTATTTTCAGCCGCATCCGGTTCTTTCTGCGGCATAGCAATAACTTCTTCTTTTTCCTCTGTCATCGGCTCAGCCTGAGTAAGCTCTGGGTCGATAGACGTAGGGATATGAGGTTTTGGGGCCTCTAATAAGCGTTGCATAGCTTCAATTTGTTCTTGATAGAAAGATTCACGTTCTAATGATTGATTCTCTCTAAGTAAAGCTTGATTCAATTGTTTTTCAAGTATGTCAACTTGTCTTTTCAATAAGTCAACTTCAGTCAAGTTTTGACTGTTAGTTGATTGACTCTGATTGACATTGGATGTTTTATTTTGAGGTTCTCCAAATACTCTTAAAGCTTCTGAAAAGTCAATTAACCCATCAGAACCTTTCGATAAATTTCCTTTATTTATATGGGCATATATAGCTTGTCTTGAATATCCATACAGCTTAGCTAATTCTGAAACTGATAATTTTTTCATATTGTAAACTGGGGTTAAATTGAGTTAATACTTTACTGTTAATTTGACAATGTCAATTTACAAACCTATTGAAATCCTAATTCTTTTAGATATGGAGAGTATTCTTTAATTTTTTTAGGATCTGTTAAGTCTCCAGAGATTCTAATTATAAAGTCATCATAGCTTTCACCAGCTTTACTATATTTTGATGCGAATGTGGGTTCATACGCTAACTTACCAGAGAACAAAAGAATCTGTTTATCTGTCAATTGGCCAATCAGTTCTAACTGTTCATTGCTTGTTTTAGAAATATTTTTAACTGATGTCTTTGGCTTAAATGAAAAACTATAGCCTGAGATTGATCGCCCAGTTTTATGCTGTTCAGACTTAACTTTGATGTCTGTAAAAGTATTGATTTGGGATATAGCGATATCTAGAACTCTTCTTTTGAAATTATCTGAGCGCGTGTATTCATCATCCGCAATACCAAGTTGCTGCCTAAATTCTGAAATTTCAAATACTGGAGTTTGACCAGTGGTGCGCCAAGCAATTAATA